GAGGTAGAAGCATACTATAAGGAAAGAGACAATAAAAAAAAAAGTCAAGATAATATTCGAGCAAAGAAAAGAGGAAGACCACTTGGATCAAATAATATGGTTATGAAAATAAACAAAAAACTTAATATTTTACAAAGTTCAAGCATCCTAAATGTTAATCAAGTTATTGAAGACAATGAACAAGTTTTACCTGTATCTCAAAATGATGCAGTTTTTTCATTGGAGCAAATAAACAATCACTATGTACATGTTTTCCTTGATCATGATTATTTTGTAAAAGAGTTAGTTGTAACTCAAGACTAAAGAAATGAAACACTGTAATATTTAGTTTTATAGTCAATGGTGTTTATTTGTAGAGAATTATATAAAAATAATGTCTTAATTATTTTTTCTTTTATAACCTTAAAAATTATTTTGTGAACATTTTATTGAAAAACTTGTTTGTTTATTCTCGAAATAGTTTAACTAGATTTTTTAAAAAATTAATTTAAACTAATACAAAGAAATTTAAACAACTTTTTAGATTTAAAAGATTAAAATTGATATTCAGTTTAATAGTGTTCAAAGTTACCCGAAATGCGAGGGTAACTTTGAACGCCTACTTGAACATTGTTTTTTTACATAATATCTAGCAAATTGAAAAAAATAATAACAAACTAGAAAAAAGAGATCATCAGAACACCCTTTATGTAAAAATATTTGTTATCTAGTTAGTAAAACAATTTTTGTAGAAATTAACCTAGCGCAAACCGTTCAAAGTTACCCGTAATGACTGTATCCGCAACGGCATATAGCTTTTACTCTTACACAAAAGCAATTGCTTATGAACATTAGCAAAACTTTATTCAGACATTTTTGAGTAATTGCTATTGCGGCGAGCATTTGCTTTTAGCTTTTACTTCTACTCAGAGCAACTGCTCTTTTTTATTCACCCGGCCTAATGTCTTTTCAATCGTTGTTTAGACGTTGGAATAATGGCAGAAATGAAACATAGACCAATTTATTTTAATCACGTTGGTCAAACGTTGTAAAAAAACGTTCCCCAACGTTTTTCTAACATTTTAGCGATGTTTTTTACACTGCAAAGAACAATAAAACACAATGTTACACTGTATAACATTGCGCTGTGATGTTCTTTTTTCCTTTTATTTATTAAGATCATACATGGTAATTATATTCCCAGAAAAAAAAGTTCTAAGTAATTTTTATAAACTTTTGTAACATATGGCTTATAGAAATTCTATAGAATTTCTATAAAATCTTTGTTAATTTCTATAGAAGTTTCTATACAGCATTTTTTTCTACTTTATCTAATAGATATTCTAAAGAAATTCTATAGGCTATATGTTTCAAAAGTTTATAGAAATTCTATTGAACTTTTTTTTCTGGGTTAGTCCAGGCAATTAATTGAATATGGAAATTAAAAGATAAAAAAATAAACCTTGCAATACTCCTATTTCAAAATTTTAAAATTATATACAATAATTTAGAGTAAAACTAGTTTGATTTTTACTATCTTTCCAAATTTTAACCATATCTCAAATAATTCGCGTATTCTTTGTTTGACACTAAAAGAGGAAAATATATGAAGAAACATAAAGTTACAAACAAATCTAGTTATAAGTATTTTCAAGAACGTCATAAAAAAAACATTCAGAGTGAACAAATAGAAATACCACAAATACCAGATTTTGGACTAACTTGCTATTTGATGCTCACCTGAGTAGAAAAAACAATTCCTCAATAAACTGTAAAACAAACGAACTTTCCCCCTCCCCTCCCCCCTCCAAAAAAAAAAAAGGAAATAGACAAAATTTATTACAAACACAAACTTGACATAACAGTAAAAAAAACATTTATTATTTTACCCTTAAAACAAATATCTTTGTGTTTGAGTTCAGATTTCTGTAAAGTTTTTTTTTTACAGAAGTTATTTTGGTAAAGACAATATATTTTGATATATCTTGAATTGCATGGTACAATAAAAAAGCCGAAATGGAAAGTGTTTTAGAAGTGTTTTACAAAGTGTATAAAAGTGTTTCACAAAGCTCTTTCAAAAGTCGTTTTAATTAATAGCTCTCCTTAACACCAACAAGCAAACTGACCATGCTTGGCCCATGCATGGTCCACCATTGGTGTCATTACTGGCCAACCATCGGCCAACAAGCATTGTCCAAACCAAGTTTTGCTCATGCATTGTAGCCGTTTTTTGAATGGTGTTTAGCCGATACATTGCCATTGCTTTTTTTTATGTTTCTTTTGGCTCATTGTGCTGTTTTTATCATTTATTGCTATTTTTATAAATAACCAATACTTTAATAAACGCGAGATTTTAACTCAGGGAACTTTTGGGAAACAAATACAAGATATTAACTTAATGATTTGAAAGTAAAACAAGTCAGTATGAAAAAAGTGAAGCGGGGTAATGTTTGACTACCTAAAAAAGTCGCGCGGGTGATATAAAATGGAATGTGAGATATTTTAAACTATAAATACGCAGTCATTTTAGCAATACGTTTTATATTACCAAATATTTTTATTTCAATAAAATTGCCTTGCAATACAATTGTCTGTGATAATGTACATTTAAAGGTTTAAGGTTAGCGAACGGTTAAACTTCTACAATCATTTCAAATTGATGCTCTCATGAACTAACGTTTGGTACTTCTCGATGTCCATATTTTTATGCTTGTCAAGCTGATAGATTTAGTAATTACAACAAAGATAATTACAATAAAGTCACCCAAAAATAACCAAAAGTGAAGGAATTGTAAACAAAGTAAATAATAAAATAGATAAAAGTAAAGTAATTGTAAAATAAACTAAAAAAGTTAGTAATAAGATTAAATAAGAAAGTAAAAGATTTTTATTAAATAAAAATAATACCAAAAAAAAAATAAGAAAAACATTTTTGGAATCCTTTAAACATATAAAGAGTTCCTATTATTATCAATTAAAAAAATCTTCAAAAGTGTATCTTGACATTTCGTCTCAAATTAAGCGAAATCATAAAAAATTTCAAATATGATAATTATATTATAAAAAACTTATTGAAAAAAAAGTATTGCTAAAAATTGGTAAAAATAGGCATTTTTTTTTTTTAGTTAATAAAATTCATTTTTTATGGTGTTAAATCTAACATTGAAATTTTCATATAATTTTGTTTCATTTGAGAGCCAACATGATACATATGAGACCCAACAAGGAACATAACTCAAAGGAACATAACAAGTTTCTAAGGGTCTTGAGAGTCATTAAAATATTTTTTATTCAAAAATTTTTTATCATATAAAACACATTAAGCATATATTGTTCAAAAATGTTCTTTTTGGAAAAAAAACAAGAACTCCTCCACCGGGTTTATTGATAAGTCTTTAGCGAGAAATTAACTCAAAGTAAGGAAGATTAAAATTCGAAGTAGTATTTAGATCAATTTCAGTTCAGTTAAACAAATTATATTAAAAATATTGTTGGTTTCTTTTAACAAATTAAGAAGATTTTCGAAATTGCGGTTTAGGCTTCTGATATTTACATGAAGAATTCTTAGTTGATCAAAATTAGGGGAAGGTTGCGTAAGTTGAGCATATTTTCAGTGTAGTGTATTTTGCTCCCAAAAGACTACAAAAAGATATATATTTTTTTAAGAATAATGATAATTTCATCTTTCCTCTTAAAGAATATAAATAAATAATTCATTTAAAAATAAATCTTTATACCAAAAATTGGTTTTTCTTCAACATACCCAATCATTTCATCTTAGGAAACCAGTTTGCTAAGATGAGCTTTTTTTTATGGAACTTAAAAAAACTCAAAATAACAAAAAAATAATCACAAAAAAAAATTAAATAAAAATTTATCTTGAAGGACTATACTTAAGTAAAAAGTAATTATTTCAATCATAAAAAAAAAACAATAATAAATCTTTCTAATCTCTAAAAAAGTTAACGATACTTTTTTTTGAAAAAAGCGTAAAAAAACGAGCTTTTCTTAACAAAAAGCCGTTCTCATCTTGAGCGTCTAAAAACGTATCATCTTAAGCAACTTCACCAACTACTATCATAATTTAAATAACATGACAACAGTTTATGTATTATCTCAAGTAATCCATGAAATTAGTATTAGATAAGCATAAAATATTGAGGATGTAATAAATTTTTGATGATCTTGTTTCCAATGACGTGTAATGTAATTATGTTGTGGTAAACTCTAAAAACAGTTAGTGACAACTATGCGATTTGTGATTAGCATAATTTTTAATTAGTAATTATATTTAATATGTTTACACGGTTTTAAATGAATATTTGAGGCTTGTAGTATAATATAAATTATCGATCGATTTTGTAAGAAGGAGGTGAAATAGAAGTTAGTTTAATTGATGAGATAGATGAATAAAATTTCTTGTGGTGTTTTCTTGCGAGGAAATTACATGTAATAAAGAACTAGATGTCTAACTCCGAGTTTTTTTATAAGCTGCAAGTGAAGTCGATTTTTTTATTTACAGTTTTAATCGGCCATTGTTATATCGGGCAAAACAATCATGTAAAAAAAATCATGTTAAAAAAAAGAGTTAATTCCCGACATAATTTCTGTTAATTTGAAAGCATTCATTTAAATCAGTTATTTCTTTTGGTAATTTCATCAATAGTTAATTCTTGTGCTGCGTAGGAAAACACTAAATCCAATCCTTCAAAGTGCAATCTAAATTTTACTGACCGATGCGATCTCCAACGGAAATATAGTTTTAAGTTTAAAATAAAAGAAACTCTGAGATTTTCAATAACATTTAATAACATATGTATTTAATATTTATTATTAATCATGTTGTTATTAATAATATTTTCGTTTAATATCAATTTGATAACATTTAAATCACATTGTAAATGCCGTAATCGGGTCTAGAATTTTTAAAAACTGTTCAAACAGCACTTTGACGGATTGGATTTAACGTTTCCCTGCTGCGTATGGATGTTCTAGTAGATAAGGCGGCACAAAATCCTTCCATAAATTTTCTATTAAAAATTCAGAATTGTGTAAAAAATGGATTGTTGCTATATCACCATCAAAAGAAAAATTAAAAAAAAAAGTCAAAGCTTTACAGCAAAAATTAAAAAGAAATGAAAAAAAAAATAGTTCTTTAAAAGACATGGTTTTCCATTTACAATCTAAAAATTATTTGACTACAGATGCTGCAACTGTTTTAAGCGAAAATTTTTCTGGAAATTTTTCTTATGAAATCATTAAAAATCTATTTCTTAATCAAAATATTGAACCAAAAGGTCACAGATACAATGATGAAGTAAAAAAGTTTGCATTAACTCTTCATTTTTATTCTCCACGTGCATATAACTTTCTTCAACCAAAATTGTGTCTTCCTGCTGCCAGTTCAATATCACATTGGACATCATCTGTAAACATTTGTTTTAGGTTTAATTATGGCTGCTAAAAGCACTGAAAAGTTATCCACCGATCTGTTGACACTTCCAGAGAAACCATTTAAGTATGTTTTAACTTACAAGTATTCCCAAGATCTTCTTGAACTACTATTTGCTTCCATTCGCAGCAAAAAAGGTTACAACAATAATCCTGATGTAGTACAGTTAAAGTCATCTTTAAAACGAATTCTGATAAGAAATTCCATAGTTGGATCGAATCATGCAAACTGCCTAATGTTTGAAGCCTATTCTAATGGTTCTATTTTTTCTCTTAATTGGAGTAAAAGGTCATGTTCTGTTGATAATTTTGATCAGGATGATATTGACTTAGAAAAAGTTTCTTTGTACTGGGATGAACTTCAAATGACTAGCTACAAAGAAGCAATACTTGAATATATCTCTGGTTTTATAGTCAGAAAATTGATAAACATGATTTCTTGTAATATTTGTGTTCAATCATTAACTGAAATTTTATCATACGAACATTCCTATGTGAAATCTTATTCTTCGTTAAATAATGTGAAAAATTGCGGTGGTTTGTTTTTGCCATCAAGGAATGTTATTTCTGTTGTTGAGTCATGTGAAAATATATTTAACTTCTTCATTAGTGATAAAGATTTTAAAAAACCAAAAATCACCTCTGGCCGAAGTATAAAGCAGAAAATGATTCATTGTGTTAACAAATTAATCATGATTAAAAAAGTATTTAAAAAACTTGATTCATTAAAAGTCCAACATAGAATGTTGGACTTTTAATGAAGGTTTACATTCTAGCCAGTTTGTTAAAAAAATAAGTAAATGTTACTTTAAAATTTGATTGTTCAGATATGTCCAGGATTATACTACTAAAGTGCTAAAGAAGTCAGCAATTGGATTAAGACAACAAACAAATAAGTTATTATTATTCAAGGGTTTATAAATGTTTAATTTAAAAAAATAAAAGATTAAAATACATTACGATGTTTTTGTTTAAATTCTATATGCAAATATGTTTTTAAATATGTTTTTTAATTTGTGGCTATTAAAATAGCCGTTTGTTATAGTTTGTAAGCCAACACAATTCTCTATGACCAAAACAAAATTATATTGGATGTAGGCTCATCACATTTATCATCTTTTAACTAATCATCTTTGATTCCAACTTTAATCAAAACTTTAAAGTTACAAATTTCCATTCATTCGACTATGATCCACTAAAAGCTTTTGCCCGATACAATAATGGCTTCCAACGTATTACGCAATATTAAATTGGCTTCACTAAAAACGGCGAAGTCTGATATCTAGAAATACCTTTATATCAGTGATTCCCAAAGTGGTCTATAGAGACCCCCAGGGGTCTATGACAACCTGCAAGGAGTCTACGTCAGCGGAATAATTATTTGGGGGTTTATGAAATGAAAATAGGGGTCCACGGTAGTGGATCTCAACATACACTGATAGTACCTATTTACTTACATTATACTTCCCCACTGACTTATTAAATTTAATCAATTGCGACTGCAAAATGATCGCGGCAGAGCAGACATGCACAAAGTACTGCCGTACATGACTAGCTGATTGACTAAACTTGTTACCCCCATATGTTCTTTAAAAATTGGGTTCCTTAGCTTAAAAAGAATTATAAAAGTACTGAATATTTTCACAATACATTTAATTACCAGGTCTTTTTAAACTGTTGTTGCTCTCCTACTTGAAATTCAGTGCCATTAAAATTTTTATATTCGACGACATTTATATTCACAAAGAAAAAGAGAAATGAAAGAGTTCTTATAATAATAGAAAAAATTTAATGTTGTGTTACGTGATTGATATAATACGGTTCTGTTTTTAATAAAATTATAGTGAATCAGCTTTATTTTGTTTAAGAGTGCCGAAGAAAAGTAAGTACAATTTTTTTTTATTACATTTTAGTTTTGTAATGGTAGTTAGCAAAGATAAATAAATGACGTGAATCATGGCTTCAGTTATTGGTAGTTTAGTATTTAAATCATGCGAAGTTACATGAGTACATTACATAATTAATATTCATAGTATTGTTCTGACATTCATTTATAATGACTGTATAATGCTGAACTTTACGTTTTATAAATAGAATAATATTGCCCACAGATGGCTGATACCATGCCCAAATGTAAAAAAAAATGTAGGCAGTACAGTGTTGATTATTTGAAGTTTGGCTTCATTCCATTATTGACGGATAAACAATTGCCTGTGTCTTTTATGCAACAAAATTTTGCGCAATGACGCTATGAAACCATCTAGGCTTAAGAATCATCTGAAAAGATGTAACCCTGATAAAACAGATAAAGATTTGAAATACTTTCAAACACTTAAAGGTGAACTTTAGAATTGACCCATGCTGGACAGATTGCTCGCTTTGACATCACAAAGAAACGATGATGGTTTGCGGGCATCTTACAACATCTCGCTACTTATAGCAAAATCCAGAAAACTGCATACTATCGTAGGGAAGTTAATTTTTCTAGCCGTTGAAGTGGTTTTAAAAACTGTTTACATAAACCTGCATCTGATATCATTAAAGAATTCCCTTAAGAAACAATACTGTTGAAAGGCGTATTGATGAAAAGACTTCTGATATTGAATGCTTCTTGTGTAATTATTTGCAAACGACACATTTCTCTATTCAACTGGAGTCAACTTTACCTGGTTGTGCAGCATTATTATTATTGGCATATGTTCGTTTTATTATGAATCAAGAAATTCACGAAGAACTGCTCTTCGCAAGAACGTTGACAGTCGACACTAAAGGTGAATCAATATTTAATGTTTTGAAGGATTACTTTATTGTAAAAGCAATCCCTTTATCAAATATCTTATCAGTAGCTACAGATGGAGCACCTGCCATGGTTGGACGTTATCGCAGATTTATAAGTTATTTAAAGCAAAATGTGCCAGGGGTGTTAGCAATACATTTCATCATCCATCAGCAACATTTGGTTGCTAAAAATTTGAGCACTAGATTGCATCAATCTTTTCAACTAGTCATTCATGCAGTAAACCGAATCCGAAGCAACGCGTTGAATACGTGGTTATTTGTACAGTTGTGTGAAGAAAATGACGAACACTTTCATCAGTTACTTCTTCACACTGAAGTACACTGGTTGTCGAAAGGCTTATGTTTAACAAGATTCTTTGGACTTTTTGAGACTATTTTAGAATTTTTGGATACTAAAAATAAAATTTTAAAAGACAATTTAATAAAATGGAAAAAGACATTGCCTATTTATCAAATTTGTTTACAAAATTTAATACAGTTAACTTGCAGTTACAAGGCGATAATCTAAATTTGATTAAAACAAAATCTATCTTATAAGCATTTCTTCATTAAACTAATGAAGCAAAATATTGGACGGGGCAAACTTTCCCAGTTCCCTAGTTTGTCACAGACAAACTGTCTGGAAGACAACGTTTCAACCTACGTCCAACATTTAAATGCCCTCTATTCAGATTTCGAAACTAGATTTGAGGATGTTTTGACTATGGTGGATTAAGGTTCAGTTTAAAAACGGATATCAGCAACTCTGGATGCAAAACATCATACCCTTTACTTATCCCGTATTATGGAATATAGCGAGAAAATTTTTTATTTCCTTTCCATCCTTATACCTAGTGGAAAGAGGATTCCACCGTGGATTAAGGTTCAGTTTAAAAACGGATATCAGCAACTCTGGATGCAAAACATCATACCCTTTACTTATCCCGTATTATGGAATATAGCGAGAAAATTTTTTATTTCCTTTCCATCCTTATACCTAGTGGAAAGAGGATTCAGCGTACCGATCTCCTAAAGAAAAAAAGAAACAGACTGGACATCATTGGCCGATCAGATTTAAGATTAAACTTTACAAAGTTGGCGCCAAATGTTGATAATTTATTATTAAAGCATCAGGTTCATCCTTCTCACTAAAAAATTTACTTATTGTTTAGTTTTTTGTGTTTATTTTATGTTATGTATATAGATAAACAATTTTATTTTGAGTATTTTTAATTTAAATGCAATTAATAAATGTATAAAACTTAGCATGTGTTTTAATTGACATTTTTAAAACTAAACTTCACTACAGTTAGAAATTAACGAAAAATCAAGTTCAGGTAAGTTGGGGGTCTACCCAAAACCAAAAAACATGGCAAGTGGTCTACGACACAAAAAAGTTTGGGAATCACTGCTTTATACCATTGCTTGTTTCGTTCTGACGTAATTATAAAATATTGAACAATAAAAAATTATAACGGAGATGGAATTTTTTTAACAGTAAAACAAGCAAAGAATATTAACTAAACCAAGAAACTAAAATAAATAACACCGTCGAACTTGTATGAATATCCTTAACCAAAAAAGTTTGCGAAAATATCATTATTCTACCCGTAAAAGAGGTTATACCATCTTAGGAACCTGCTCATCTTACGCAACCTTACCCTATTGTTTTTTGTATTTTTATAAGAAAATTCTTCTAATTTGTTAGGATAGTAATATGAACAATCCGTAATAATGTTATAACAATGCCCAAACCACTGCGGCCGTGATGCAGTGGTTAGAGCGCCTGCTTTAAAAGCAGGAGATCCAGGTTTGAAACGAGTTCCTGGTTAAATGAACTTCCTGGTTAAATGCACTTCCGCGGTGCTCTGTGACAAGACCTTTAGGTCTTCTTGGGGCACCTAAAAAAAAAAAAAAGAAAGAAAGAAAAAATAGCTGGATCTAAGTTTTTATTAGATGAGAAGTGTCTCATTTCTGAAAAATTAATGTAAACGATTTAAAGTCATTTGTTTCAGACATTTTGATTAAGTTATAAAATAGAACTATATATGTTAAAAAAAAATTATCTTTTATGATCTCTGGGGTTGTCCATAAAGTAAGTACGCCTTTTTTTCTCCAACCAATCACCCCCTCTCCTCCCCCGTAATTTGCTATACGCTTTTTTGAGTACTCTCTACCTCCCTAAAAGTACTTACGCTTTTAACCTACCAACCCAACATTTTTATGATATTTTTTAAATTTAGTGTCCCCATACTTTCATAATTGACCTACTGCCCCCTTATATCAGAAAAGCTATTTGCAGAGCCCCTTTTCCTCTCCGAGCGCACGTACTTTATTGACGATCCCTCTACATAGAACTTACCTTCTTTCCTCAATTTAACGACTTCATCCCAGAGTTTTTTACGCTTTTCTATTATTTCTTTTGCAAAGTCTTCGTTTACGAACACGCCTGTTCCGCGTAGTTTTTTTGAGTTTTGTAGAATTTTACTTTTTGTCGTTGAAATTTAAAAGTTTGATGATAATCGTTCGCTCTTTACCTTTTTTTAATGAACCTGACCTGTGTGCTCTTTCGATGATAATATCTTTGCTGCATTTAAGATTGTTGGAAAAATATCCTTAACTATTTTTTCGCACTCATCCCATGTTTCGCTTTGAATTTTCTTGACACCATCAATTCTAAGATTGTTTCAATTTTAACAATTTTCTAGATCTATTAGTTTTTCATTTATTACATTTATAGTTTTTGATTGTACTTCTGATTCCATATTTTTATTTTTGTTAGAGATTCTTTTCTGATTGTCGATGCGATGATTTATTTCGTTAACTTTTTTTATAATCATATCTTCTTGAAAGTTTATACTTTCCTTTAAGTCATCGATCTCTTTTTACATTTTCTTAATATTTAGTGCGTTTTTCTGCATTTCATTTCAATTTTATCGAATCTATCTGTTATTAATTTCATGTTGGCAGATGTTATTTTTTCAAAATTAATTGCTTGTTCACGAAGAAGTCGTTCAGTCTCTTTTAAAATAAATACCTTATGATCTTAAAGCATTTTTTTCATTGACTTTTGAATATTTTTAATTGATGCTTCCATAGTTATGAGCATGATAACTTTATCAATACATTCGAGTAATAAGAATTTAAATTAAAAAAAAAATAAAAAAAATAGGTATCCATAAAAAAAAAAGGTATCTAATATAGGTATCCATAACAACTAAATAAAAACAATTTGACCATTTATATAAAGTGCGATCTCGTATTGGTACTCATGCCAAATTTAATGAATATAGCACTCGTAAAAAATCTGCAACTAACAAACTAGATTGTTGCAATGCAAATTAGGTATCCATAGCAACCAAGTCATAATAAGTCATAAATATCCCCTCTAAAGAAGAAAAAACTTCATATTAATGCACAAACTAATTATAGAGTATATGACACACATAAAACATCAGTAACTACCAAAAGTAGTTTTTTTTTGCAGAGCAAAATTAGGTATCTATAGCAACCAAATATAAAAATGTCACTTTTGTTAGAAGCGCAGGCCTTATATTAGTTCTCGTGCGAATTTTAGTAAATAAAAACCCAATATTTAGTTAATTATTAATTTTGCTTATTAAAAGTGAATTCTGACTAATATTGGGGCGCCCCTGCTTGTTTAATACAGTATAATATTTCTTTTGACCCTCAGGCTTTTTATGGCAAGATAAAAAAAAAAGAAAAGAAATATTGTGGTTTAAATTCTGAAAGAATTTAAACCACAATATTAACAAAAATTTAAACCACAATATTAACAAAAAATCCCACGGGCAAGCAGGATAAAAAATGCTTGGCAAACTATGTTCAAAATTTTACTTTGAGTTATAAGGGCAAAATGAAGTTATTAGGTTTTAAAGCTTTGCAAGTGAAAAAATTATATTTACTTTTTCTTTATTTTCTTTTAGTATAAAACTTTTCAACTCGGAATATTGTATAAAAACCAGTGTATTGTATTACAACGGATTTTATTGATCTAGATTATCTGTAGTGTCGTTATCAACACATTTTTTTTTTGAAACACTATAAAGTTAATTACCTAAATACTATTCATAAATGTTGCATAGTTATATTTTTATTCAATAGAGTTATTAAATATTTTAAAACAAATTGCGATAACTTTCAATGGCGATATTGGAATTCAGTTTGTTAATCGGCTAGTTTTACTTACAAGCGTAAACATACAAGTTTAAAAATAAGTAAGTTTACATCCATAAATTATAAATGTACGTTTAGATGTGAAAATGACAATTTTAAAGTATATGACGTTTTTAAAATATGACATTTTAAAAAGTTTTTTCTTAATAATACTTTTTCTTATTTGAAGATATATAAACATATTTTATAAAAAGAAAAATCAGAATCAGTCGTTAAAAAAAAAAAACAACTTTTTTCTTTAAGTAGGCATTTTCTCAACGAAAATAAAAATTGATTTTCCAAAAATTGGTAATGTTTTTTTATGAAAAGTTAACTGATTTTTTTACAGCACTTTAATAATGACTTTTTCAAACATTAAGAAAAGCGATCTTATAAACCTCCTACATAGATTTTTACCAATATTAGTCTGGCTTCCTCAATATAACTTGATTAAATTGCGTGGAGATATTATCGCCGGGATAACATGTGGATTTGTTGTTATTCCTCAAAGTATTGCGTTTGCAAATCTGGGTAAACTTCCTGCACAAAATGGATTATATGCTTCTTTAACGCCTGGTTTAATTTATGCAATTTTTGGAACATCAAAAGATGTTAGCGTAGGTACAGCAGTTACTCTAGGGTTATATACATCAAGTTTTAACTCGACTCACAGCACTATAGGAGCATCCCTTCTAAGCTTTTTATCTGGTATTATTTTGGTGTTGATGGGCTTATTAAAATTAGGTTATATGATCAAGTACGTACCTCAACTCGTCATCAGCGCGTTTGTTTCAGCTACGGCTATTACTATTATGGCAACGCAACTTTCGAATTTATTTGGAATTAAAAAAGCTCCTCAAAATGTATTTGAAATTCTAAAATTTATCATTGTGAACGTTAAACGTACCAATAAATGGGACTTAATTATGGGCATTTTTTGTTTAGCATTTTTATTGTTTTTTGTTTGGCTATCCAGCAGAAAGCTTGATAATGAAAAGCAAAATAAAGTTAGATTATTCGTAGTAAAATTAATCTGGATTTTAAGTGCATCTAGAATGGTTCTTGTGTGTTTTTTGGCAACAACTGTTGTCTACATATTTCACGTAAATGGTTTCAGAGAGAAGTTTTCTACGGCTGGAATAATTCCAAAAGGTTTGCCTAAATACCAGGTAACTTATGTAAAAGTGTCATTATTTGGCTTTTATAAAGAATAGTTTTTAACCAAGGAAAACTGGTTCTAAGTAAGTAATTGTGGTTAAAAACTAATTAAAAATTAAAAATTAAATTAAAAGTAAAAAACATATTAATTATTTCAAGTAAAATTATAAGATAGCAAAATATTTTGATCTAGATAAACTGTACATGTTTTTTGAAAGGTTTTAGACTGGCCTATTCTGAGTTAATCTTAAAATCAAAGCTATTTTAAGAAATGCGATAAAATAAATGTCAAATTATAAAGGAAATAAATTGTTGATATTTAAAAAAAATCAATTCTAAAAATGTTACGTAATTAATTAGAAATGTTACAGTAATTTTCAGATTAAAACAAATAATATTATCTGTCAAATATAAAACAAATAATATAATATAGTTTTATCATATAATATTTAATATATAATTGTTTAATTTTAGTAACTTGAATATTTAGTTACTTAATTCAGACGAAATCTGAAACTTAAAAATAGCGATGTAATATATGTTTCTGACAAAACCGAATATGCAAAAAAAAAAAAGAGACAAAAAAAACAAACGGTTAAGGATGCGTTTTATTCACAATTTTTTTGTAACCATGACCGTTGCTAAGGACAAATAACATACTAATCATTTAGAAAAAAATCATTTATACATGGTAATTTTTAAATATGTTTTTTAGGTCACAAATCTTTTCAATCACTATTACTTCCTAAAAGTTATTTTAACGTACCCATTAACAACCTAAATAAGAAAAATAAGTATTATTCATCAATATTATTAGTAATATTTATTTATGTTAAAATTTAACGAAATCTATGTAAAAATTTTAATGCAATAAAGCAAAACTTAATAGTACATTAAGTTTTGCTTTATTGCATTAAAATTTTTTAAAACTTATTTTAATAACACAATTCATTATTAGATGTATGCTTAGAAGTTACCTGGAACAGCATATATATATGCTGTTCCAAAATGTTACTTCTTTTCATGCGTAAATGTATGTGCGTAAATAAAATTTATATATAAATTTTATTTACGCACATACATTTACGCATGAAAAGAAGTAACATTTTCCAAATGTAATATGATCTAATTACATTAAAATAACCAACCAAATTATTGTAGAAAACTAAATAAAAAAAAACAAAAAACAATCAAACAAATGTATATAAAAAACAATGTAAAAAATATTTGTATATAGATAATGTGTACATATATATATATTTTTTATATTATATATTTATTTATTTTTGTCAAGCAACCATTTACAATTAAAGGTAATTTCCGATAAAATATTTAAAAATATTAAATACAAGTACATTTCATTATTTATAATAGTTACGAGACCGGAGAACCTAAAGAAAAAAAACAAACTTATCATCAGTAACCTTTGATAATAAAAATTGGAAAAAAAAGTGTATTATTAGAAAAAAATAATGTAAAGAATCTTGATTGGCAATAAGTTCGATTAAGTTCTTTTTAAATTTTTGAGAGGTATTGGCTTCTTTAAGTTTACCACTCAGGCTTGTAAAATGGTTCCATAGCATTGGGCCACGATAGGAAAGGGCAAAGCTTGTAAGTTTTGATGTACCGAAAGGTTATTTAAATCTTCTGGTAGATCGCGTGTTGAATCGGTTTAATGTTTTATGGAAAATGTTTTCGAAAACCTTCGGTGTTTTTTTTGACTGATGTTGAAACATAAATTGTGTAATTTTGAAAATATTTAGTTCATAAATATCAAGTGCCCTCTTGCTTTTTAGAAGAGGTTTAGCATTTGTGAAGCGATTTTGAAAATGAAGAATGCGTGCTGCATGATTCTGTTGTTTAAGGAGACAGTCAAGTTTAGATTTGTTTGTACTACCCCAAACAATATTGCCATAAGATTAATAACTATTTATGAATGCAAAGTATTTTTAAAAGTTGATCTGGTTTTATACAAAATGCCAATACTTCTTGAGATTTTATTGCTAATATATTTAATATGATCTCTCCAGGATAAGTTTTCGTCTATTAAAATACCAAGTAAATTATTTGTGAATGAGCGCTCAATTTTGATGTTATTTATATATAGCATTGGTAAGGATTTTGGAATAAATTGACACTTTCGTTTAGAATGGAATAAGGAAAATTTAGTTTTATCAGTGTTTAGTTAGCTATAAGTCAGTTTGATATTTGTTCTAGTTCATTATTTGCTACTTGAAATAGAGAGATAATATTACTGTGAGAATAGAATGGTGTCGTCTGCAAAAATAATAGTAGACATAGTATTTGATGCTTTATATAGATCATTGACATAGATTAAGAACAGCAGCGGACCTAAGATAGAGCCTTGTGGAACCCCACATGATATTTTGTTTGTCTGAAAGCCATCGTTTAGAGAAATAAACTGCTTTCGATCAGTTAAGTAACTGGTTAACCATTTATGGTATTCGTGGCTTATTCCATAATATTTTAGTTTTTCTAATAAAATCTGATGGTTAACGGTGTCAAATGCTATTTATATTGGTGTCAAATGCTATTTATAAATTTATTTAAACTATTGTATACATATAATCTGCATACAATAGTTTAAATTTATTCTTCTTTATATTATATAACCTAATTTCCATTTTATCGTTTTCTGAAATGGATGTTCATCTGTAATCTAAGTTTACCCGACAAAAAAAATATGATTTTGGTTACGTGTGTCATTAAATAACGGCCAAACTCGAATTATAAGATTGCGTAAATGTGGGTCATAAGAGGTCCACATTTACGCTATCCATATTAATACATATACTATCTAAGTAATATAAATAACATAACCATACATGGCCTTCAGCTACACCGTCCCATATATCATATATCATCAAGTTTTCTTGTTTTAAAAGTATTTAAATCTTACAGTTTGTCATTCTTGACAATAGAAAACATTAGTTGTTATTAATTGCCATTTTAATAAAAGAAATAAACGATAGATTTTCTAAATTAAAAAGTAATTTAATTTTAAATGTCTTCAAAAAAAGTCATCATAAATGATTAACTAAAAAAAAAGCTAAATAAACAAATTAAACTTAAAAAAAAATTATTTCATTAATAAGGGATCGTCCATAAATTACGTAACGCAAAACGTATTAAAACAAATAAAATTAAAAACGAGTTTTTAAAACCCAATACTTTTATATGTTATTAAAACACAAATTTTGAAATCAATTTTTCTGATATCACTATTTTATGATATTATTTTATTAACATTTGGCTGTACGCGTGTGTAAAAAAACAAAAAAAATCAGGAAGATGCGAGTCTCGAAGTAGTAAATGTCTTATTTTTAGACGGTCCCCGGCCCCGTCTAAAAATAAGACTTTTAAAACTAAAAATAAAACTTTTATCAAAATGGTTAACTAAAGACTTGAAAAGTTGTAGGTTGTATATAAAAAAAAAAATGAAAATGGCTAATAGTTATAAGGTTTTTTTGATGTGCAAGGAAAAAAACTGGATTAATAAAAGTTTTATAGCATGAAGGGACAGATACAGTAAAAGAATGCAACTTGTTGAATAAGAAACAAGCAAGAATGAGTTTTGGTTTATTGTAATACAGACAATAGCTTGTTTGAGCATTGACCATGATTGTATTTGTAGAAAAAAGAAAGAAATGCAACCTTACAAAAATGGGAGAGAGGCTCAAGCTTAACAGATAAAGCAGGTCTAATTACATTTACAATGTGCTTTTAGACTTTGTCTGAGGGTAATAAGGTTGTTATTTATCAGTATAAGAATGCCAACAATATTGATCTATGTTTTTGCAGTAAATGAATGAGTTTTGTTGTTTAACAAAAATTGTGGATTTTAAATCCAGACTTAAAATTCACAAGCCACTGCAAGCCTTCGGCTGTTACAGAAGAGAGATCAGATTAAAAATTAGCTGCTTATTCTAAGCAAGCAAAAGTGAAGATTTTTTGTCAAGAGAAGAATATTAAGTTGACTCAGGAAATAGAGCCACTTTAGATTTCATGAAGATTGTTATTGTAGATAAGAAACAATATAGGAGCAAATATTTAAGGGTACCACAAGATACCTTGTGGTACCCTTAAAGTTGCTTGAAATAAAGAAGTAGGTAAAGTGTTTATATATGCATATATATACAAAATATAACATGAATTTTAAATAAAAAATATATACTTGAGGAATTATAAAAGTTAATGCAACCCCGGTCACAAACCCGGCCCCAGCTATATTTTATCAAACCCAGCTCCGGCCCTGGTCGAATTTCAACCCCGGTTGTTTACTCAAAGCACTGTCATTCCGTTTTCAAAGTCAACGCCTTATCTATTTATGCCTAAGGCTAGAGAACGTTTTTCAATCGGATTTTTTGTTACCAATGGTTACGCATTGTAGGCAGTCGGTTAGCTAGGTCTTGATCTATTTGCGCAAGTTGTTAGACACTCCGTAAGGTTTCAGTTTATGCAGCAGACGATGGTGCAGAACTTTGTCGAATGTTTTAGCAAAGTCTGTGAATATGATATCGGTTGGGTAATCTTTGCGGGCAGCTTCTGTCTGGATATCGCAAGTTTTGAGTAGGTTTGTGAGGCAACCTTTTCCCTTTTGGAGCCCGTATTAAGCAGAGCTAATAAGTTTATTTTTTTTCAAGTGATCAGTAATGTGTCTGTGTACAAGGCTTTCTATTACCTTGCATGGGACAAAAGTATGTGAGAGAGGTCGACAGTTTAAGGGGTTCAACTTTGAGACGGTACTTTTCCAGCTTTAAGCAATTCAGAGAATATAATGCTTAGGGAAATAGCAAACCCTGAAGCACAGTATTTCAGCCACGTAGGTGAATGCCGTCAAAGCCCATTGATTTGGTTTTGTTCAGGTCTAAAAGTTTTTTTTTACGGATTCGTATGATGCGAGTGTGGTTGGTTGGTTTATGCTTGTGGAACAAACAGTTAAATGTTGGAATAGGCCCTAACGGCTTGATTTTGAAAACTGATTGAAAATATTCGTTACAGATTACTTTAGGATCTGTTATAGTTTGATTATTAGTTGTTTCAAGATGACAGATACGGTTGTGTGTTACTTTTTTTATCGTTTAAAACTTTATTCTTATTAAATAAGGTCAATGTGTTAAACAATAAAAAAGAACTCCAAACAATTAAAATAAGTTTCAAAAACTAATTTTTAAAGAATTGAAGTGAAATTTTTTTTTTTTTTTTTTTAAGGACTATGCAATACAATTAGTCACCATGGCCTTTACACATGGTGAGTAATTGTAACGTTACGTTTATATGGTGAATGCTTCCAATAAGGTAAGCTGTAGAATCAAAGTAAAGGAAAAGTTTCGAGGAAATAACACTTAAAAAAACATGGACAAAAAATGTAAAAATAGCTTACATATTTTTACATATGATCTTATTATATACCAGCTGATCAAATGTAAGAGATCTTAAACTAGGTTATCCTGGTCGAAAACTAATTTTAGTTGAACTTTTATTAAACTTTAAAAAAAAACAAAGAATGGGTCAACTGCTTATTTTTGAAGTTCTCAGTTTTATTTATCATATCTTATATAATTATTATACATATCTAAAATAGTTGCTTTAAGTCAAGCAGTAAGCATTTGAAGTTTATGGAAATAATTTTTTTTTCCATCAAATATTTGTCACTTTTTAATTAAAAAAAAAAAAAACAACAACAATAAAAATAGTAAGTAACAGATGGATTTAAATTTGGATTTCACAATCCAAATATGTTTCCATTATTAGCTATTTTTTAAGATCAAACACTATATTTTGTATTTATGACTTGGTCTCGGACCTTTTAATAACGAATAAACGCTGTAATCCTTTTTTAAAGTTGCGCTTTATTTACAGAGTCCATTTCAACCATACAAAGATGGAAACGTTACGGTTAAAACAACTGGTCAATTAATAGAAGGTTTTGGTGCTTCTCTTATTATATTACCCATAATCATGTTTATTGAACAAATGTCTATAACAAAAGCATTTGCTAAAAAGTTCAATTATAAAGTAAAGGCGCAGCAAGAATTAATTGCAATCGGAATGTGCAACATAATTGCTTCTTTCTATGGAGGTTGGATCGTAGGTGGTGGCTTTTCGCGTTCTGCTGTAAATTCTATGAGTGGTGCTCAAACTCCTTTAGCAGGTATGTTTCTTAATGTTATTTAATAAAATATAATCAACCACAAAACTAGTAAAACGTTGATACTTATTTACTTGGTATATTTTTTTCAAATAGGTGCAATTTCAGGGCTGATTGCGTTGATAGCTCTTGAGTTCATGACTCCAGCTTTATATTATATTCCATCAGCAGCTTTAGGAGCTATGATGGTAATGGCAGTTGTCACGATGATTGAAATGAGTATACCAAAACATATTTGGAGTTTGCACAAATGGGATTTGCTGCCATTTTTTGCTGCGTTTTTTACAAGTTTTTACAAACTAGAGTATGGCGCCATTGTAGGAACGGGTATTGCAATCTTAGCACTACTTTCCCGTGAAGCGCGTCCAAAATATTTACTTGAAAGGAATGAAGCGGAAAAATATATTAAACTATTATTGTTAGAAAACTTGACCTATCCTGGTGTAGAAGCAGTGAATAAAACAATTTATTCTGAAGTCAATAACTGTACTTGGATTGAAACTCTGTTTTTAGATATGTCTGCCATGGTCCGAGTTGATTTTACAATACTTAAAAACTTTGAATTTTTGAAAAGTGAATTTTCAAAAAAGAACATTTTACTTTGTTTCATAAATTTTTCTTGCACTTCAGTACAAAAAAAATTTTTAAAGGCCGGTTTAATTAACGTGGGAGAAGATTTGACAATAACAAAAAATTCTTTAGCAAACACAGTTATGATGATCGCAAATGACAAACCGTTTATTGAAACTAAAACTACAAAGTATCTGAAAACTGGATTAACTGAGGACGATGATTTAGAGTTAAATACCAACAACTTGGGTACAGCGAGCACAAACGAAGAATATAATTTAAACCATTCTAAGATTGACTGTTACTTATTAAGCAAATATGTATAAATTTAATACAAGTTAATTTTGATATATTAGTATTCGACTGATATATTAGTTTCGACTATAAAATTTATTAAATTTAAAAGAGAGCTGTACTGGTTGTTACCCTTTTACATTTTAAACAGTTAAAATTTTATTTTTGATTAAATCAAATCCAAACTTAGATACGGTTTAATTAAAAATAAAATATTAACAACCAAACAATTGGTTGTCGCATATTGTAAGGTTGATTGTCACATTTTCTGGCATGTTTGAATCCTAACTACATAATGTAAGTTTGAGTAGATTTTAATTTGGTCAAAATAATTCAGTGACTAAAGTTTATTTTCCTGTTGAGAGTGGAAATTTTCTGAAATATCTTTTTCAACAGTTTGCCATTTATATTTTACAATAAAGAAAGTATAGGGCTATTAAAATGATAATGTAAAGTGTTCAATTTTCAGAAGATAAAAGATCGTGCTGAAAAATGGAATTAGGTGGTATTGATAAGTTACATTACATAAATTACGAGGCAAAAACCTTATATTGAAAAAGAAATGGAGTGTTCTGTGAAGGAAAAGGAAGAGCAACTATAATCTTTGGTTAAGAACTTATTTAACTTTTTCTAATTGTAGCGGCGCTCCTTTATCAGGATAATCATGAATTTATTACTGTTTTGTTATTTAAGTACATTAAACACTATATTTGTAGGGCACACTAACATATTTGACATCAGCATTTATTTTGCGACAAGCGATCTATTTCACGTTTGTGTTTTAATGAGAACTTTTCACGAATGACGTTGATGAGTAAAATAAGTTTTGTTTTTTAAAAAGAAATTTTTAAGTACAATTTATTCCTCATCAAAACCAATAAATACCAATAGTTTTTTTCTAAAAAAAAAAAGTGATAATAACTGTAAATATTTCTGTGAAATGGAAATGTATTATGCTGCATTGTTTAAAAATTTTAAATCTTTTTTTTTTTGTACACTAAGCTCTATAACAACCAACAAATAAAACAAAAAAAAAATTGTTGTATACAGAATTTAGGTTAGATTATTTTGTTATACTATATATGGGTATATGAAGACCAATTTTAAAATATTGCTCTCCAATCTGGTCTCCTAACAGCACTGAATTAATAAACGCAGTCAAAAATGACAATTTACCATCTTAAATTCGTAGATCATAATTTAGAATATCGGATATGGAACTGCTAGATATTCGTCTTCTATATCAAGACTTTATTACATGTTACAAAATATTGAACATCTTGTTAATTAATAAGTATATTTACACTCGAGGTTATGAAGTTTAAGTGTCAACTATATGTTCATAAATGTTGTTTTCCCCTCAGTATTGGTAATATTTAGAATAACTTACTAACTGGCCAAAAATATGAAGTGCTATAAATTAAAATTAACTTTATCAATTTAAAAAAATACTGTTGCAGCTAACTTCATATCCTTAAGTTTCGTTTTGTTGTTGTGATTTGATATTTCTTTTTTTTTTGTATATTGTTTAATATACGAAAAAAATACTATTGTATAGTGTTGAATTTATAAAAACTCAAGCTGAAATTGTTTCAAACTTATATTCTAATGATGTATGCATTATTAAAAGAGGAATTAAGAACTTTTTACAAAATATGCAACGTATAAACAAGTGTTTTTGCTGAAGGAAAATTGCATTAACTTCTATTAATCCAATAAAAGAACTACAAAAAAATATTATTCAATAATCAAATATATTTGTTTTTAAATACGCTATACGATTTCCACGTCAGTGTTATCAGGAGAAATATCTTTCAGCAAATTAAATTAATAAAAAAGTTAGTTACGTTCGATAACAGACCGGAACCGACTTAACTATCTATAACATCTTTTGATAGAAAAGCGAGAAAAGCAGCTTTAAAACATTCTTATTTAATTGTAAAGTATTATAAACACATAATAAAACAAAACAAAACTTGCTTTTTCTAGCTAACAGTCCAGCGTAATATCAAAATTTAATTATGTATCATGCCTTAAATCAGCTCGGAACGAACAGGGGCAATTCTAGGAATAAAATGAGGGGGCGAATTCTGAAAAAGTACCAAGATTCTAAGGGCCCGCTCTGTTTTCAAAAGGACTAACAACAACAAAATCACCGACTGAAATGTGTTAAAAGCCCCACTAACCGACTAAATTCCTCAAAATCCGATTGCAACTTAAAAATCACCTACTTTGAATGCTGGTATGTGTGTGTGGGGGGGGGGGGGAGAAGAGGGCATAATCCCTCTTTCTCTCTCAGACATACCCGTATAATTGTCTTTTATAACAACCTTCATCTATCCAATACCGAATGCCATCAGTAAAACTAAATCGAGCATTATTGGAAAGATCAAGCAGATCCAAAACAAATTATTTACCAAGATGTTAGCGAAAAAACTTTTTAAACTTTTTGTTAAAGGTAAGTTCTGGCTCTTTGATACAAAAAAAAAAATTGGTCTAATTAATGCTCTTTTGTAGTTAATAAAAATCATTTAACTTATACTGGATATAAGTCTGCTGCAAAAGTGGTATTAAAATTATGGTAAAACCATACTAAGTGTTTGGATCCGTTAATTGTAATGCTGGCATTAGGATCTTCTGACAGAGATTTAAATGGTAATATGGTATAATATAATGGTAATATAATGGTAATATGGTATAAATATAAATGGTAATAAATCGTAAAACTTTGTGGTTCCCATAAACCTTCTTAAATTAAGTTCGTACCAAATTCAATATCGGGGACCTTTAGTTTGGAAAAAACTTCTTCCAATCTTTAGTAAAAAACAAAACTTCGTTTTAAACTGCACTTTGCAAAGTTTTAAGGATGATTCAAAACGGCATTTACTGAACATGGAGTTCGATATATTCGATTTCAAATACCTTTTTTGAAAACAAATTTAAAAGTTTAAACTAAATCACTTAAAAATAAATTAGATCTTTAACACTTTCTTTAGCTTTTATTAAAATGGTTTCAAACCATTAGTATAAAAGATAACGAAAATAAAATCGTCTTTTTCGTTCATATTTTTGATGATATTAAATAATCAGCCCAAATACTTATGTTTACATATATTGCTTTTTTTTTTTTTCTAATTAAACAACGCATTTTTTTGTGTTTTTATAACTTTCATGATTTTCTGTCGTTTTTACTTTTTTATTTTTAAAATATTTCTGCTGGAAGATTGTTAGCAACAAATTATTTTATTGCTGAAGTTTTTGATTTGCTTTTGTTTTTCTATTTATACTGTCCTTTTGTCTTTTATCATTTATTGTGCAGGTAAATTTAAGTGTGACGGGGCTCGGTGATAAGACAACCTGTCTTCTTCTTGCTCCGGCCAGGATTTTCTTTTATTGTAATTTCTTTTTTGTAATATTTATCAACGGCAAAATAAATAAATAATAAAAAAAAAAAAGAAAATAAAAAAATAGTTTTCTTTTCAACCCAAACGGTGATCCAAAAAGATGTAATAACGGATAGAATTAAAGTTGAAATCTTTGTGACAGCAGTTTTTTGTTAATAAAGACCACCCACTAGGTATTGAATTCCATTTATTGAATTATTCAAGTTCCATACAGTAAATAATATTCATGTATAGCAAAACTGAAAAATGATTCATTTACAAATAAATATCTGTAAAATGCAAAAATTATGGTAACCTAATTTTAAATTTCAATAAAAGTATCAATTTGAAGATAGATTAAACTAAAACTACTAAAAACTTCCATCATCATAACCCAGATAGCACCCAGACGTTGGCCCAACCTCGGATCAACGTCAAAAATTCGTTGGCCGATGGTCGCCAACTGACGTCGCAACAACGTGGATTTGGAAGTCGGCGCGACGTTGAAGCAAAACGTTGGGCTGGCGTTGGCCCAACGTCGACCTCCGACATTTGGCGAGCGTCGCATTCTAACGTTGGTCCAACGTAATATTATTATTTAAAAGCATTTTTAAATTTTTTGTTTAAAAGGTAAGCACGTGCTTACTAATTCTTAGGTAATGTTAATTGAAACTTTTTTTTTCTCCAAATAAGTTTGAATGACTTTTTTCGCGATAAACAAAAATTGGTTTTTTGCTGAATAATGAAGCAATTTGAAGCAATTTTATAATAACACAAAATCAAAATTTCTTGCAATAAACAATAAAATGACGTTAAAATATTCGTACAAATTATACACATATTTAAAAATAAAAATATTTTTTTTGGCTGCTTAGCTTCCATACGAATCTTGAGTCTTTAATTTGCTGGAATAGAACTCCAAGTGTTCAAACGATACTTAATACACAATTCGATAGAAATCTCAGAACTTGCATCTTTCGTTTGATGAGCTTTTAGGCATTGCCATAACTACTGTTAAAATTATAAGTATATATATATATATATATATACATATATATATATATATATATATATATATATATATATATATATATATATATATATATATATATATATATATATATATATATATATACACACACACACATATATATATATATATATATATATATATATATATATATATATATATATATATATATATTTATATATATATATATATATATTGATTGATTGATTATGTATTATATAAAATAATACAAAGCTTTTGTACGAAAAACAGTGCTCGATATTATGATAATAGAGCAATATATATATATATATATATATATATATATATATATATATATATATATATATATATATATATATATATATATATATATATATATATATATATATATATATATATATATATATTTTATTTAAATGAAGAAAAACAACATTATAATAGTACTTAAAGTTTCGTGCATTTCGGCAATCATCAGCTATTAATTTCAAATTAAAAATGAAAAACTAACGTTTAAAAAACGAATCAAAATTTTACTTGAGATGGAAAGCTTTCTTTCTTATCAACAGCAATACAACGTCTAAAGAAGATAATAATCACTTAAACTACGGAATTAATTTTATAAAATGTCCACCTCAAATAAAAGAGATGTCTTCTTTCGAAAAAGA